ACGATCCTCCATCAATAGATTTTCAGCACAATACTGCAACCAGTACAAATCTTCTGAATTGTTTTGAATGCCTTTATGCAAATAGTCATCTTAGCTGAGTGCCTCGAGTTTTATATGCACACATGGTCACTTGTGATATCGCTCCACCAGCTATTCTTGTGTTATTAGCATTATGATATCTTAATGTGATTTGCGTGTATATGACATCACTTATCGTTCACAATCTACTCTCATGTCCAATCTTATATGTTCACGCGACTTTGTCACCATTCTTGACCCCCTTTTGTCCTAATCCATGTGAGATCTGCATCAAGGCAGGTAGGATCCAATTCTTAGTACGCTGCGGTGTTTATTCCATCATACTGTCGTCTTCTGCAAGAATATATACCCAAAGGTATCCATGCACTGCGATTTTATTTCTTGCAAAGTCGTAGCCTAGTAATTGCAAAGGTGTCGAACCAAATTTAGGCATTTGGATGCCAAAATTTTACTAACTTAAAGCTCTACACGGTTATAAGGCAAAATAGATGGATGTGGAGTTAGGGGATGTGTGAATGTAAGCCGAGTGAGAAAGTGGAAGATCAGATAAAAAATGAAAAGAAAGGCTGCATTTAAGGATGGATGAATAGACAGAGGATAAAAGGATGACTGAACGAAAACAATGGATAGGTGGGTGACAGAATGGATTGACAGCTCGATTCATGGGTGGTAAAATGGATAAATGTAAATGTAAAGGGGCGGTTGAAAAAGATAAAAATTGATGGATGAAATTGGAAAGATTTTACGACATAAACGCACAAATGACAAGTTTGTACTCATTAAACTTTGCAAAACTGGAAACCAATTCGTAATACAAAGAATGTATTCAAATTTATCCATGTAGGTGAAAGACGAGAAAAGAAAAGTGGTACGCGGGGCTCGCGGAGAGCACAAATGAACCGCTGCGAACACGGCAGTTGCAAGCTTAGTTTCTACCCGTTCACATCCAACCTCCTAGCCGTTTGAAAGGGTGAATGAAGAAAAACGGAGAAAATCGTACTCTAAATAACCCAAGGAGAGGAAATCGAGCCAAGGGAATTAACTGCAGCAATCACAACGTAAAATGACCGCATATTTGCAGAGGCTCTCGATTTTAAAAATAAAAAGAGAATTAACGGTAAAATATGATAAGGTGAGACGAAAAAGAGGTGAATTTTCGTTACTGTAGGAAAAAGAAGTTATGCTGGAGACAGAGAGGTAATTTAGAGGTGTGGTTGCATGCACGATCGCAATCGACATCGGCCAGTTGGTCCAGCCTTACCTCCCCAGCACAGCATTGCTAGAGCACAGCCACCACACCACACAGCCCTCCAATCCGTCGTCAACGAGATTGCAGTCCAACTGTCCAACAGTGGGAATTGGGGCGAGATGTGCGCACCCTCGCCACCTGACACACCTCTCCACCTCAAGTCTAGGCGACACATCAGTGTGGTGCTGCACGTCCCACATCCACTGCTTCGCAGTGTTGTTCCACTCCATCCAACCTCACACCACCTCACCTCTAGGCTGACACGACACCCACACTATTGTGCTCCTCGCTTGATCGTGACGCTTTGTGCAGGAGGCAGTCTGTCCGATTGCAGATTGCAGTATCAACTCATTCCTCACACAACACCTCAACTCCACCACTCCACATCCCCCAATGCCCACCCCATACCTGATCGCAATCACGGCCTCCTCTCTTCACCGGACTCCGACCCCACTGCGTCTTCGCCTCACCTCAACTCCGGCAACACTGCTAATCCACCACATTTGACATCAAGAATTGCGTCTTGTGTGGATGCATGTGTGCTTGAGTTGGCATGAGGAGGTGAGGCGAGTGCCATTCACTCCTCTTCACGCTCGTGGCCATAGGTACAGCTCCTGTGCTTCTGTGTTGCGCACACCACCACTTCCCATCCACTGGAAGGCAGATTGGAATGCCATTTGGGCTACCGCCGATGGTGATGTTGAGTGAGGCAGTTACGACGCGACAGCATGAGGGATGGAGCAATTTGGGCTCCTCTCAGACACACTCAACTCCAATGCATGAAAGAGCTGTGCTTTTGCATGCAATTGACTTTGCGTATGTGCGTCACTGTGAAGGAGGTCAGCGGCAACAACCGAGGTGATGGTGCACCGAAGAGACAGCGAGGGGTCTCCGACTTCCTCCCTCTGAGTAATGTAG